TGCGAGTGGCAGGAGTCATGGGTGCGTAGCGATGATGAGTACCATACCAGGGCTAAACGGCCGCTCTAAATGATACATATTCTACATTTCTGTGATATATCAAGATAGTTTACAAATTCTTGAAAGTAGATACTGACTAGGACAGCGACATGTACACTAATCACAGTTATTCGAATTTTGATAAATGACTGCTGCTATTTACGTATCATAATTGGATTCACGAATAAATCTAAGTTAGATTATCATTAGAGATCTGGAAGAACTGGGCAGTAGTTTTGTCCTAGCATGGGACTCCTCAGCAGTGCGATTCCTCGACCTTACAAGCAGGAGTCAAATTCAAGAACTTAGGTCTATACTATTGAGTCCACATCAAATGGTCTTAAGATTTCACTAAAATCAATCAACCATATTGCACGATTATCGCCCATTGTGCCTCACACCTCAAACACGGTCGAACTCTACCAGTCTAAATTTCTCACCAGAAACTCCAAGCATTTCTTTATGGAGTTAGTCATAAGTGAGCAAATAGTGTAAGTGAGTAAAAATTATCTTGTGCTCACCAGTGACTAACTCCGTAAGGAAGTTTCTTTAAGTTCTAGAGACAAGTCGTTCAATCCTATTCGGATGTGAGGCACTACTCACCGAAGACAGTGGATTGATCGAAGTGAATCATTAACACCATTAGATGGCGATTTAGGGTTTTAAAAGTTCAGCGTTTGCGCTCAAGACCTGAAGGTCCTGGGTTTTATTTTCGCGAGCTAGAGTACATACAGGCTGTGCACTGCTAATGAGTCCCATCCAGTGCTTGTGTATTTCTAGCGGTAGGCTATCATTAATCTGTTCACGATTTATTAGTTGAGATTCTCACTTTAGGCAGCCTTCTTCAACCTCAGTCAATAAGGTATTCTTCCTACATTCAGGAAAAGATTGAACCAATTCACACTCAGTCAATAAGTTCTTAAGTAACATTTTCCAACTTTTCAACTCATAGATAATCGATTCAAATACCAATGATAAATATGAGTATTGCATTACGGGGTTGTGAAGATTGTTAAGTTGCACACATTTGAAATCATGAATTGATCAAAGTTAGACCACAATTAGGAACATAGAAGAACTGGACGGCCGTCTCGTCCTGGTATAGGACTCATCAATGACAGTGCGCATCCACGACTACCGCACCTCGCATGATTCGAACCCAGAACCTTCGGTATTGTGCGCGAACGCCTAACCATCGAACCATTGAGCCGGTATCTAACGGTGTTAACGTCTAACTTGATCAATTCACGGAGTTGCGCAACCTCATACACCACAGTCTTCGCTAGTTACTGTATACCCCCTAACCAAATTGAACTTCACTGGTCACGTCTCCTTACTAAAACTCGGAGAAGATGTGGTGTGACGATTTATTGCGTGTTCTTAAGCTCGGTTTATAAATCAGAAGACGAACTCGTATTGATGAGTACGTTTATTCGGAACACACCACAAAGCGAAGCGAATCGGAGAAGGCTAAGAACCAACTCAAAGAGACAGAACATGACTAAGAATATATAGTCAGATAAAAAATAAGACGGACATATGACAAGCGAAAAAGGGCATGCACAGACATGAATAAAAGCGACGAATGATTGACAAGGTCAGATGACAAGCGATACAAATCATGTGAGTTCATGGGGATATCAAGAAAGATGAACATTAAAGCGCAAAGGATGAGTAAGTGCGTAGGCGTAAGCAGCGCTCAGTCGTACAAACAGGCTCATACAAACCAGATAATAAAAAATAGCAATGGTACATATGATTTGTTGCTATACAAATTATGGCTTGATTAAATAAAACTTAATCGAAATGGCTTAACCAAGTTAGATGTAATCGAACTGGAATGAATATATGTTAAGGCATTACAAAGATTCCTTACGAAGCTAGCTAGTCACTCACTAGTGAACACAGGTAATTATTTGCATTACAGGGTTTTGTTGTGAAGATTGTAAAGTTACAAATGTTTTTTTGAAACAATGAATCGATCAACTTTAGACCACATTGATCGATTTTATTGATTTTTAAATTGAGTTTTTTTTATCGTATTGTCTTGTTAATTAAATTTAGTCTGGCACTAAGCCATCAGATGATACTGACAATAATCTATCAACCAGTCGGAATTTTCAAAATCATTCACCAAACATTGAACATTCAACAAACACTAATAATAATAATAATTCTGATCAAGTTTCCAATCATTCAGCACTGCACGATTCATCCGTTATCTATTTCACCGATAATGGTATTCGTAAAAGAGCACATGCTTATTCACCACCGACTACTACTACTAGTAGTAGTAGTAGTAGTACACTCTCACCATCAACAACTAAACAAAATTGTTTAAATCAATACTCAGGTAAATTATTACAGCATACAACTGCTTGCATGAAACCGATTTCTGGCGATTCATTCAATTTCACGCAACAATCAAATCATCATGACAATTTACAAACTACTTCACATCTAACTACTACTGAAAAGAATACTACTGATATCAGTAATACAACACAGAAACAATCACAATTCAGAATGTATCAAACACCATTAGTTGTATCGAATGTTATATTGGAAGATACACAAGATCAGTTGACACCATTACCGACATATTATAAAGAATCAAGAATTGATTTAACTCAAGTGAGTGGTGTATATGTTTGTGTGTGTGCGCGAATTTTACATACTAGTAGATAACTATTCGGTTCCTTGTGTATGGGTTAGTGCGCGACAATGACTCAGTGGAGCGGACGTTTAGTTATCATGTACTTAGTAATGGTGATTAACTGTGTGTGAGTGAATTGTCAGAGTGTCAGGCACGCATGCACGTGAACACGTCATTTTGATATGTTTGAACTATTATTACGAGTTTACCTTGGTCGGAAAACGAGAGCGAGGATCCGATGACACGACATGCTACTCTAATCCGAGTGTTCCAAACCCCCATATTGAGTAAAAATAAGAAGACTTGATATGAAGTAGAACATGTATTCAACAACCATCCAGAAAGTATGAGGTCCGAGTCCAGAAGAGAATCAGGATCCCGGTCCTGAAACGTTACAGATAATGCGTATTTATACATTTAGGTCGAATAGGAAACAACATTTAAGTCTGTGACATTGACAGTTAAGACGACCAATGGGAAACAACATTTGAGGTATGTGATATTGATATCTAGGACGACCATAAAATTGACCAGTAGGAATTAACCAATCGGCATTGACTAATGATTCTCGTAACATAGAGTTGTGGTGAGAGGTTGTGAGTATGGGAGTTCAACCGTGTGTTTGATGTGAGGCAGTTATGAACCAAATATGATGGATGATGGTTGACACAGAAATCATTGGATGCAGACTCAGTAGTGTAGAGTTTAAACGTTCCAATGCGACACTAAATTTCCTAGATTCGATTCACTTAAGTAGATTAATGAATGCGTACTAATAATGAGTCAGTCTATGATAAGATACAAAACAGCTGTCCGTCTATTCCTATACTGACAATATATATCATAGTGAGCATGAATTAATTAAGTGGTCAGTTTACAGTTCTGTGTGTATATATCATAGGAAAGTGTAAGTAGATATTATTTGCTTTGAAAGAGATGCAAAATGTTTCTGCATGATTGGTTTGCGTCAGGACCGGAACTAGTGAAGTAGCTAAGCGTGTTTACTGCATAATTTATGTTTGGAGTCTCACCAGTGCTGATGTGCCTTGTGTTTGACGAAATCTCAGCGTAGACACAGAAGGCTGTAGAAGCCTTTACCAACTTGCGTCATTTATGGCGAAGGACGAGTGTACTGTGCAGCAGTTCGTTCAGTCCTACTTCACGGGTGCAAAACATAACCAGTAAGAATGGAGGACATTCTTCAATCACTGTTATTCGAACAAAGGTGGCTACAAAGCGTTGCTCGTATATCCTGAGACCAGTGAGCAAGCAGCGCTGTTGTTCGGAAACGCGCAACAGGTAAGGAGGGCAGGATAATAGATAAAGTAGTGAATTTTCATCAGTTGAGGTTGTTAGGACATGTGCTACATATGTCTAATTACCGACTAACTCGACGAGCTATGCTTTGTGATGCAAGGGTAGACTGGAAGAAAACTAGGAGTGGCTAGAACAAAACATGGTACAAATCCATGAAGTCACTGACAACTGGACTGAGTCATGTTAGTAAGTATAGACCACATGGTTGGGATGTTTAGAGACTTCGAATGGCATGGCATAAAATCGCTTGCAATAGCGAAGATACGTCCATTCAAATTCTAATCGTCTCAATTCCTCATGACCTCTTTTCCCTCTTAAAAAAATCTATTTCACTGGATTATACTTCGCGATTAATATCTGTGATCCCCTACAATCGGATTTGATTTGATAATCTGATTTTTCTGTGCTTATGTGGTCCGGCAACTTGAAATGTTATACGTACATACGAAGTTCCACGTTGTAGCTAACAAACAGACTAGTCAGTCAGTCAGTTGCAACGTAGAACTACGTACGTATGTACATAAGTTCAAATTGCCATACCACATTAGCACAGAAACGCAAATGTCAAATCAAATCTCGTAGTGATAAAGATGGTAGAGGTATTAATGGTAATGAAGAAGACTAGGGTTCGAAGATATTATTCAAGAAGTATAATTCAGTGAGATAAGGTTAGAACGACAAAGGTAGAGGTGCTGACGAATCCAGAAGATTAGGATTTGAGAGAGCTCAAAGAATGGATGCACTTGCGCCATTGCAAACGATTTTGAGCCATGTCGTTCAAGGTCTCTAACCATCGGTGACTTTCGTCTCGCGGACCCCAACCAGGTAGTCTACATCTACCAACATGACTCAATCCACTTGTCAGTGACTTCATGGATTTCTGTCATGTTTTGATTTTGGCTTCCCCTAGATTTCTTCTATCCTACTGCTACACAACAAAACACAGCTCGTCGAGGCAGTCGGTGGTTAGACATACGTAACACATGTCCCAACCACCTCAACTGATGAAGTGTCACTACTGTGTCTATTGATCTGTCATTCCTACCTAGCACCCGATTCCTAACGACAGCATTGCTTACTCGGTTGTCCCACGATATACGAGCAATGCTTCTTAAACATCTATGATCGAATACTAGTAACCTACGAACATCTTCTACTCTTAACGGCCATGTTTGGCATCCATATAGGAGAACGGAGCGAACTGCTGCGCAGTACACCCGTCCTTTAGTTAGCGAACGGATATCACGCCTACGCCATAAGTGACGCAGGTTGGCAAAAGCCAATCGAGCTGAGATTTCGTCAGTCACCAGGCTATCAGCGCTGATGAGGCTCCCCAGATAAGTGAAGTGATCAACACGCTCGACTACTTCACTCCCTATCACTAGTTCAGGTGCCGATGCAACCCAGTCTTGAAGCAACATTTTGCATTTCGAGGGTGAGAACCGCATCCCGAACATGCTTGCATTGTTGCTTATGGTAGTCAGAAGACTCTGTATTTTGTCAGCGTCTTCACCGAATAGAACTATATCATTGGCATATTCTAGATCAGTAAGCGGTTTTCCTTGTAGAAGATCAACCCCTGAAAATTCAGACGAATATTATGTTATATCTAGGAGTATGTCTATGACAAAATTAAACATGAATAAAGAGAGTGGACATGCCTGACAAACATCACTTGAAGTAAATAATTCCGATGACAGTTCGCCATAAGCTTCTTACTCGACCAGTGATGTTCGTGTAGAGTGCTTGTAATAAGGTTAATGTACTTCTTTGATACACCTTTCAATGACAGACACAGAACCTCACGATCCACACAGTCAAATGCCGCTTTTAGGTCCGGGAACACGACTATTGTCGGACGTCTAAATGTGTGTCTGTGCTCCAGTCTGGAGTCACCACCACATTACAACTTAGTCAATAAGATTAAATCATAATTAACTGGAGGACTTGACCTACATCGAAATGTGATTAATACCTCGATTCATTGTAAAAATAGAATAAATTGATTAAAATGACCAGCTGATGAGAAATTCTACTAAATTCATGTTTCTCTATCTTTTTTTGTATCGATCAAAACAAAACAAAAATCCATTTCATCATAGAATATGAAACGTGGCAGTGTACCAGATGTGACAAAACAAACTTCCACATTATCTCCTAATGATTTATTAAAATTAGAAGAAGAGCACAAAAGAAAATATGAGCATATATTAGATAGAAAACGTCAAGGTGAAATTATTATACAATTTGTGGATTTTTTTGTAAGTCAATTTTAACCTCCTATTTTTTTATTCTCTGTGTCTGTCTGTCTTTCTTTTCTTCCGTTCGTTTGTTTGTGTGTTTGTTTGAATTAACCGTTAACTGAAAATTCGAACGTATCACAACACACAGCTCAAGGTTATCATCGTCAGGAAAGCAATTCTGATTGGCTAGTTTTTTTTAAGCACATGTTAT